CGCGGTGGGTGTCCCTCGGCCAGGTAAGGGCTCAAAGGCAGAGCACGGGCTGGCTGATGCTTTCATTAGGGGTAGCAGAAATGAATCAAGATTGATTTTCTCTCTCTTTCCCCCAAATACGCCAAGCGACGCTGACCTACGTTCCCCAAGCTCGAGCCTGCGAGGGCTTCACCTGTCACCCGTTTCCCCCCTCTAAAGCAGCCAGGACGATCGTTGCACGGAGGCTCATTAATAAGCTCCAGGCCAGGGGTCTGTTGCAAATTTAAGTGGTGAAGGCAGGGTCCCGGCCCCCACCTCTTGCTATGTTGTCCCGGCTTCTCCAGCTGTGCTTTGCCGTGATTCAGCACAGAGGCAAGGAAATACCGGCCCCTGCGGCACATCCAGGCCCTGCGGGGTTAAACCTGCAGGCCCTCGATAGCTTGCTAATTGCCCGGTGGGCTGCGGGGCTTGGGGGCTGCGGGGCTTGGGAGCCGCAGGTGCATGGGGAAGGGGAGAGGAGGAGGACGAGGAGGAAGAAGAAGAGCTGCCGGACCCTTCGAGCGGTGCGTGGTCTCAGTTCCCTTCTGCCCCATCCTGGAGCGGGGTCGCGTGGTCAGGTTGCAGTGACCCAGCGCGTCTTCCCGTGTGCCCTCCGCCGGCCGTGAGGACGCGGTTGGGTTTGCACCGTCCCTGGGGACGCATCCACCCCGGGCTGGGCTTGCACGTGGCACTTGGCGGCACCCAGCTCCGGTCCCCGCCAGGCGTGCCGGGTGGGAGCCGTTGGTCCGCTCTGGTGCAGCAAGAGGCACCGACGGAGCACGTTTCCGCTCTGGCCGGCGCGTCGGCGCTGATCGATCGCATCCCGGCAGGGCCGGCGCTTGCAGAGCCTCTGTCTGTTCATATCTGTTTGCTCGTAATTAGTTCGGGAGCAGCTTTCTTAACAAGGCTTTGCCGGGGGATTCAGGGTTGGACGGTGCCTCGTTTTACTTTCGTGTAACTGCAAAGTTAAGATGTGGAGCGTGTTTTCTTACCCGGGCTGGAGCCCCTTCCCTGTCGTTCGCTGTCATTAGCGTGGGCTGAGCCGCGAGCGGGCGCGCAGAG